GTCACTGTTTTCCTTACACTCTCTGGTTACAATATCTCTGCCTTTGGGAACTTCTGATGGCTCCCTCTCTTCCCCTCTTGGGAGTAGTTTTCCACCTTTTTTTAAAGAAAGGAGTCTTGTCCCATTTCAGGCACCAGGAACAAGGATCCGAGGGTGGGTTCCTTGGGTGGTAATGATATTAGAAGTTGGAAAATGCTGCCTTGGCAAAATGAGAAACCAAATAGGTGAAGACCACAGGGAGAAGTTTCTCTAAGGGAATACTTACTGTCTGCTGCGATGAAAGGCATTGTGTCTAACACATGGGAAAGTATAGCCCTGTCACCAAAAGTTAATCATGAGCCAAATGCGGCGGAGGCAGCAGCCTACCTCATCACTAGTTCAGAAATGCAGCATTGGTTTTCCAAAACATGGTGCATGAATCGGGGCATCTCCTTAGTCCCAAACCAGGAAGCTCTAAAGAGGGAGCTGGGAGGCTAAACAGGTAGGAAAAGGAGGAAGTGTGGAGTGGGGTTAATACACCGTAAACTAGGTGTAGTGACATACTCCTGTCATCCCAGCATTTGGGAGGCAGAGAGCAAAATGCAGGAGCATAGGAAGGTCAAGGGTATCTTCATTTCCATGGTAAGTTTGAGACTAGTCATAGCTACTTAGGAATCCAATCCAGAGGGAGACCTGATCTGAAAAACAAAACAACAAAATAACTACACTTTGTACACAAAATGCCCTGTTTGCCACTGTGACCTTGAACAAGCTATTTTAGATCTGTCTAACATTCCTGTCTTTCTCATATTTAAAACATTATTTATGTTGGGCTGGGTGGGAGTAGGCATGGGCATGCATGTGTGATGGCCTGTTTTGTGGTCAGAGGACAGCATTTGGAGTTGGTTCTTCTGTTCCACCTTTACGTGGGTTTTGGGGATCGAACTCTGGTCATCAGGCTTCACAGCAAGCCCTTTTATCTGCTGAGCCATTTCACTGTCCTTCCATTTGTATACTGGGGATGAGATGATCACACTTGCTCATTTGGGCTAATCAGATCCTGACATTTGCCAGTGGCATTATCTCTGATGATGACAATGGTAACTGTGGGTTTGTGTACTTACGGTCTCTCCCCAAAGAGATGTTCAAGTCTGAGCTCTGAAGTGTTGAGTGACTGAGAGAAGAAGTTTGTATGACATCTTTTCTCAAATCCTCGTTGAGAACACTGCTAAGACTTGGATTTTAATGGAGTTTAAAATTCTATCCATCTATAATTATCTTCACATAGAACTGAAAAGGACTCTGGGAATGATCCGAGATAGGATTCACAAAACATTTAGAGATAAATGACCTGGACAGTCGAAATTTAAGAAAATGGAAAAGTAATGACTATTAAGAACCTAGGTTTATCCTTTAGGCGTTTTCATTCCTTTCATAACGATATTGACTTCACGAAGTTGCTAGAACATTAAAGACTCATTATTTAACCTATGGAAAGAACGGAGTCCATGGGGAAGAATCTCGTGGTTATTTTTCCTGATATGAAAAGAAAGTAGTTTTCTTTCAGAATTCACCCCTGTGCTGAAAATTCCCCACAGCCAAGCACTTCTCTCATGTCAAGTGAGATCACAGTTTACCTAATGGGAAACTTGATGAATGTTTTCCTCTGATGTTTCCAGAAACATGGATGTGAATCCCCTGATCAAATCCCAGACTTGCCATCTGGTAGAAAGATATGTCTTTTAAACCCATTTTGCTCCAGAAACTGAATGGTAAAGAAGTCAAGCTCAGGGAAGTTAGAAATGTCTTCGGTACGTTTTGACCACATTTGGTTATTCCCTGAAAAGTTCAGTGTGGCTGTGTCAATGACGCCCATTGCAGAAAGGGTCCTGATGAGTTCTTAGATGTTCACACCTCACAGATTCTGCCTCCAAGACTGGAACTTTCTCCTTCCTTGAAAGAGCACAGTAAATTGGCATATCGTCCCGCTTTGACCATGGGTAGAAAGAAGATGTGTTAATGGAAGAGAAGGAAGTGTCTAACACATTGTATGAAATTGTCGCTGGTCATCCTGCAGATTTTTGCTAATGTAAAATAAGCGTCAGTCCCAGAGCTGTGCTCACCCACCCCTCTGGTACTCTTTGCCAGCAGCAATGGTAGCTCAACCAAGATTCCCCACCATCACCCCCATGGCAGGATCACTTCTGGGGGAAAATGCTGTGACAGTGTCTGTAGTCTGATTCTGGCTGGATTGTTTCTTGATGTGCCTCCAAGAAAAGAGTCAGAAGCAGAGCTAAAAATTATTTTGGAGGTTGTACAGACTAGAAAAAAAGTAGGAGCCCAGAAAAAGGTAATTTACCCAAGACCAAACGCCAAACAGATCATAAGACTGAAGCCCCACGTACTGTTCCTGTGGCTTCGCAGCTCAACTGAAGCTTTAGAAAAAGTCAGAATCCAGACTGTTCTATGAAACTGTACACATTCCCTTAGAAACAGCCGGGAAGCTATGTGTACATGGGGTCAGTACCCAGAGATTCAGCCATTAAAATCCTATTTATGTAACACGAATTTGTTATATATGATGAGGAATAATGAAATTTATCACAATTTGAAGTGTATTTGCATTCATATAACTTTAAAATGTCTAACTTAGGAAAGTGGCTTCATTATCTCGAGTAAAACATGTTATAGACTCATTTTGAAATCATTGTTGAGATCAGGGTGAACATACAGAAAAGACAAAACAAAAACAAAAATCACTTCTCACTCTCAACTCACCAGCCAGAGACAGAGCCTGGCCTCAGTAGACTAAGTGTGCTTCTGCGGGATTTTAGCTGTTGAGGTCATGGGTTTGATTCCTGGGTCAGCATAGGGAGGGACATTTGGTTTGGAACAAGAACAGGAAGATTCCTACAGATGGGGAACACTAGAGCTGACTCTCAAAATAAGGTGACTAAGGACAGAGAGCACTAACAGGAGGTGACAGTCTGTGCTGGGTAGATAATGTGACAGGATGTGGCAGATTTGAGGACCAAGTGCTTCTATTTGGCCATCTCCCAGGATTCCATGATGATGGGCAGGCAGGGTTAGACCGAGGAGCTGTGCACATCATGATCACAGTTTTGAATTTTAACAAAAGTGATGGGAAGGAAGACTTTCTCTTGTGAAATTGCATGCAGCAAACGAAGAGTCAAGCCAGGTTTGGTGGCACCTACCTGTCATCCTAGCTCTCAGCGAATTGGCGTGAGTTCAGTGCCAGCCTAATTTGTGGGATGAGTTCCATGCCAACCAGAGCTACATAATGAGATCCTGTCTCAGAAAGACAATGGGTGGGATAGTCTGGGAAGATGGTTCGTTCAGTAAAGTACCTGCCCTGCAAGTGTGAGGCCATGAGTTTGGATCTCCAGAGCCCATGTAAAAATCTGGATCTGGTGGTACAGTTTTGTAATTACAGTGGTAGTGAAGTAGGAGGTGGAGAGAGCTGGATCCCTGGGACTTACTGGCCAGCTGCTCTATTTTGCTAAGTTCCAAGCCAGAAAGAAATGCTCTCAAAAGTGGGTGCCCAATGAAGGACACTGGAGTTGTCCTCTGACTGTCACACACAAACACGTACATGAACAAAAACAATAAACAGATAAGAGAATGAATGAGTAGGTCAGTGCAAGTCACATCAGACTGTAAAACTTGAGTTCTGTTCTGCTGCTCCTTAATGCCAGAAACCTTAGTGAACACCTCATAGGAGACTGATGGGATCACTGGAGTCTAGTTGCAGAGCTGAGAGGAGTCTTAATGTTCTTATCTGTAAATAGAGATCATGAGACAGCTATAAGAAGCACGCAGGCTCACGCTTACTATTAACAGTGGGTAGAACCCGGCATATTCGTCATCATAAAGACCGGTGTGGAAGAAGGTGGCTCCGAATGCTCACAGTTCACTTTAACATCTGCAGCTAAGAGGAGTTTCTAGTGTTGGCTGAATCTGTATCTCTTCATCCAGTCTTCTCATGTGAACAACTTGGTCAGCAACTGGCTAGGAAAGCTATCAGTTAGCAAAGTACATTGATTGCATTCTCGAGAGGAATCTCTGCTGTCTAGGAGAATGCGGGAAGTGAAAACTTGAGTAGGCAAAGTGGCACCTCAAAAGTGGCCGTGAGCTATTGGTTAGTCCAAAGTAGAAGAAAATACAAAGACTCACAGATAAGAATTGGAAATACTAATTATTATCCCTCCCCCTTGCCTCCTTCTGTTGACTGACAGATCCCTGCAAAACCTGAGAAAGTATATTTCACTTTTAATTGCTTCACCATCATAATTCATCGCTCATAAAATTTCCTCATTTCTTAGTGATTGAAGGTATTTTGCCCTTGGATTTTTTTTTGCCATTGTGCCAAATCAGAAATTTGAAATGCAGTTAAGCAGTGTCAATTTGGTTGTATTTAAAGATTATGTCAAAATTAGATTTATCTCTAAAATTTCCATTTCTATAGAAAAAAATAACTGTGGGTCCCCATGGACCATCCTAGTCAAGGTGCTTCAGCCACTTTGAGATGGTTAGTGATCACTTGCTCATGAATGTGATGTCTTCATCACTGCTCAGCACCTTTTCCTGTCTTGAGATGAAAATGGTAGGTCAAGAATGATGGGGGGAGCCCAGCGGTGGTGGTGCACGCCTTTAAACCCAGCACTCTGGAGGCAGAGGCAGGCGGATCTCTGTGAGTTCGAGGCCAGGCTGAACCGACAGCCTCCAAAACAATACAGAGAAACCCTGTCTCGTAAAACCAAAAAAAAAAAAAAAAAAAGAATGCTGGGGGAAACCACGATGCTTAGTTGTGACACTGGCACATTCATGGCCACTGGGATGGGTATCCCATGCTAACCCAGGCAATGGCTGCCACTACATCTATACCTTCTCATCAGTCCCAAGCCATAGACTACAATAAAGCAAAGCATCTGAGAACCGAAAGGGCCCCGTTGAATACCCTGTAGACTAATAGGCTTACTCTCTGTGTTCTGTTCCTTTAGTGCTCCTATATTCCGCCCTGTAAGAGAGAAAACCAGAAGAACTTGGAAAGTGTCATGAACTGGCAACAGTATTGGAAAGATGAGATCGGTTCCCAGCCATTTACTTGCTATTTTAATCAACATCAAAGGTAAATCAGTGTTTGTGTGTGCCTGTTAAAGTTAGTTGCTCGTGTGATTAGTCACATGGGTCAATCGGAGTTTGTGCCCAACTGGAGATAACCTCAAGCCCTTTGTAGCCTGTGGTCTCCAGTCTCTCTACCATTAAGAGGTCACGTCCTGATCTGCTGGATGTGGGGGGGAGGGTGTAAAGAGCATACAGGGCAAAATAAAGAGAGGGGAGAGGAAGGCAGGGAAGGGGGAGAGGGTGGTGGGGACCTAGATATGTCCTGGATACACTACCAGTGGCAGTGACTTTGCTAAGGAACATTTTGCACTGTCAGTATGCTGTAAGACTTAACAACCAATTATGCGTATTGGGCAGTGTTTGGACTACAACAGTTCTTAATCCTTTTTGGTCCTTTCCATTCTGATGAAGTATCAAAATGGGTTCACACCATCCAAACTCTGCCTGCCTCGGAAGCTCTTGCTGTAACATACTTACTATGTCAAGATGACCCTTTGGATCAGAACACTTGCCTGCCCACCTAGAATGGTTATACTAATTGTCAACATAATCTCTTTCTTAGTGAATGGCACTTCATTCATTTGTTCACCTAGCCCAGAACCATCCAAATGGCCCTTCATTAGTTTCCTCCTTTCCTCTCCCTTCCTGCATTCATCATCCTGTGGATGTCCCTGTGTGGTGACTCTTAGATCAGATTTGGATTCTTTTTCTTAGCTCTATTGATGTGGTGGTCTGATATGTCCTGTAGCCTCTGCATTGTGCCACACCAAGCCATTCTCCATGATGCTGCCTAGGCCAGCTCTCTAGCACAGGAGTCTAATCAGGTCACAGGTAGTTCTCAGAATAAAGTCTTGCCTGTCTTGCATGGTCCCTATGTCAGGTACCTGTGGCTGCATAGCAGCATACCTTAAACCTCATGGCTCACTGCAGCAGTGGTGTCTTATGCTTAGGTGGGTTGGCAGGGCTCATGTGCTGCTAATTAGGTGCAGGCTAGGATAGGTGTGTGGTCCACAATGGATATTGGTTATTGATAAAGATCATCAGTTCTCCTTTACCTCAGTGTTCACAAAGCTACATTATCTTCCTTACAGCATGGCTGTATGGCAGCTGCATTCAAGGAAGGAAGACCTCAGCTCTAGAATTAGAAAACATATCACCTTTGACATGGTCTGTTGGTTAAAACAAGTAACAAAGCCAGCTCGCACCCCCCCCCACCGTAAGCACTCCAGAAGATTTGTGGCCATGTTTGTGGATAGGGTGTAGTTTCCACAGTTCCAAATGTTGAGGATCCGAGTGTCCACCTGCAGAGCGTGTCTTTCTAGGAATTAGCAAACATCACATGATCAGTTCCTTTTTCTAGACCTAAACAAAGCATATCAGAACATACCCTTGAGTTACAGTAAGGTAGTGTGTCACCCAAGTGACACGAGGATAAACATGTTGTCTGAGCACATTCAAGAAGGGAGACGCTACAGAACAAACAAAAGTGCCAGCTGCCATGTTTGTCCCACGTGGCCCATGGATAACTATACACAATGTTGTCCCAGAGACTTGAAACCCTTGCTTCACCTAACGTGCCAATGAGCTTTTAAAAATGCATCGTTGGGGCAGGAGAGATGGCTCGGTGGGCAGGAAAGAGAACCCTGGAATGAAGGTTGTATTTTTGAATGACTGTTATGTGCCAAGAAAGTGATATTTTATTGAGATCACCTAATTTCTTACAGTAGTTATGAGTTACAAGTCGCATGTAGCTCACAGGGAAGAAACTGAGTCTTAAAGATTTATCTAGTTAATAGCCAGGGCATATAGCCAGGCAATAAGTAAAAAGAACTTCAGTTAGTCTGCTTCCCGGAGCTCCTTCTCTTAGCCATCTGATAAAGGTCTTTGGGGGTCTAAATGGTGATAGTGGTGGTAATGATAATGGTGGTGGTGGTGGTTATGGTGTTGGGGCTGGTGGTTGTGAGCGTGATGGTGGTGGTGGTTGTGGTAGTGGTTGTGGTAGTGGTGGTGTGGTGGGGTGGGGGTGGGGGTGGGGAGTGATGTAGTAAACAGGGACACTATATCCAAAAGGTGTATTAGAGCGAGGACCAGCCAACCTTCATGGCAGTGTATGTGATGAGGGAAAGGAAGGTGTTAAATTTGATTGCATGCGAGACAACTGTGGTCTAGCTGTGACTGTGTTGAACAAGAGACACTTACTCCTAAGACATCCCTAGGGGGCTTCAAAAGAGTTAGAAGCTGGAACTAAAAGTCTAGGAACAGGAGATGGGGAGCAGTGTTAAGCAGACCCGGAACTCCTGGACACATAAGCTGTAGTTTCCACAAAGAGAAAGAATGTGTCCTGGGAACACAATGAGAAGAGAAATGATGATTGACTATATTTCAGTCATAAGCAAGGAGACAGAGGCCAAGAGGAAAGTCAAAAGAACAGCACCCTGAAAGGGAACACTGTCCTGAAAGGCCTCTTGGACGAGAAGGAGGCCAGCCAGAACTGTTCTCAGAAGCGTTAGACCAAGTTGACACTGTGAGGGCAATTAGTGAGTGTGCCCAACTGTAAAGCTCTCTGTGTTGGAGAAAACTCAGGCTGAAGAGGCACTCGAGAGTGAAGAGAAAATATTTGGCAATCACATATCTAGTAAAGAGGTCATCTCCCAAGTGTGAAAAGAGATCCCTCAACTTGAGAGCAAAAACAATAGTGATACAATTTAAAAATGGTCTAATGACTTGAAACGTTTCTCCAGGATACACAGAAAAACTGAAGGTTTGTAAACCACTATTTATATTGTTTATCATCTGAGAAATGCGGTTCAAAACCACAGTGAGTCACCTCTTTACCCTTCCAGGATAGCCATTCCTATTTAAAGAATAAAACTTGAAAAGCAGCTGTTGGTGATGGTGTGGAGGAATAGGAGGCCCAGTACTCCGAGTAGGGAATACAGTGGTGCAGCCATGGAGCAAGGCAGTGTGGCAATTCCTCCAAAACACTAAAAGTGCCACACCACCAAGTAATTCCACTTCTGAATATTAATTTCAGAAGCAATGCTTGAAGTTCGGAGATCAAAAGGTTCATAGTACTTTTGTGTCTGTTCCTATAACATTCACAATAGCCAAGATACAGAAACACTCTGAATATCCACGGGCAGATGATGAATGAAGAAAACATGGTACTGTGGCAAGTACCTGGGCACATGCCTGCAGTCTCAGCTACTTGGGAGGCCAAAGCAGGAGGATGGATGGAGTCCAAGAATCTAAGACCAACCTGCGCAACACAGTAAGACTGTCCGTCCCATGCCATCTTAAAACAAGAAATACAAAACGAAAGACAAAAGAAACTGTGGGTATATCCATGGAATGGACTACCTTTAGAGAGGATGGGATGGTTCAGCCGTGAATGTGTTTACTGCCTGGCCTGTTGGCTTGAGTTTAATGTCTGGAAATTTCGTGGCAGAGGGAGAGAAAATTGCCCTTTGACTTCCACTGGCGTGCCATGGTGAGCAAACCCACACACGTGCATGTGCGTGCACACACAATAAATAGTAACTGTTAAAACTTTGGGAGGAGGAAATTCTGAAATATAGCAGGATGGATGAATTGCGGGGATATTGTGCTGAGTGAAGTAAGCCAGTCACAGGAAAGCAAATACTCTGTGATACTAAGCATTTGAAACAGTCAAATTCAGAGATGAGACAGTGGAATGGTGGTGGTTACTAGTGACTGGGAAGAGAGAAAGGGGGCTTCCGAATCTATAGGTGTGACATTTCCCTCAGGTAGGGTGAAACCTCTCGAGAGCTGTGTATGACATTGTACCACTATTCAAACTCCAGGGTGGTTTATGTTTAGAAGTTTGTCGAGCTTCAGGATGGTTTATACTTAAAAGTTTGTCTATGAGTGCATGTGTGCACTCATAGAAGCTGTGACAGCATGCATGGGGTCCACACAGTTCAACCGCACAACACCCAGCACTGAGAAGGGGAGGTGGATCCTAAGTCCCAAGAAGCTATTTGCTCTTGATACCTACTGGGAAAGGGAGAATCTGTTTTCTTCAGTGGAGTGACAGTGCAGTGACACATTCCAAGGTAGTTTCCATGTTCAGGAGTCGTTGGCTGTATAAGCCACATTCCAGGGTAGTTGTTCAGGAGTAGTTGGATATATAACATACTCCAGGGTAGGTTCCATGTTCAGGGGTATGGATATATAAGCCCCACTCCAGGGTAGTTTCCACGTTCAGGAGTAGTTGGCCACCACAGAACACACTTCAGACTTCATCTATTTGTGTTTTTTTTTGACTTGCTGTTTTGTTTTAGAGACAGAGACACAGAGAGACAGAGACACATACAGAGAGAACATGAGCTTGGGTGGGTAGGGAAGTGGGCAGAATTTAGAAGTTGGGAGAGGGGACAGAATATGATCTAAGTATATTGTGTGAAAATATTTTTAAAGCCAATTAAAAAAAGTTTGTTGAGCAGTTGGCTCCCATGTTAAAATTCTCACCACAATGAACTGAAAGTTTGGGGAGGAGCAATTGGAAGGGGCAGCAAGAGTACAAGTAGAACAATGAGCCCACTACAGAGTTAAACTGACCAGAGAACGAAAAGAAAAGAAATGTATAAAGTGAATACAGTAAAATTGGAACACTGCCTGAGGAACATTAGACAGGAAGAAAGGAAGGATTTAATAAGTAGGAAGCCAGGCCAGGGAATAGGCCCCGGTGGTCAGCACACTTTTGTACTGAGCCATTCTTAGAATCAGGTTTCTCCTGAAGCACCTGCCGTGGGCCAGGCACTGAGTTCAGAATACAGGTGGAGACAAACCACCCTCCCCTGCTTGCTGCCCTGCCGCCCCAGCTGAGGACCATCCAGATGACGCTTCCCTGTTCTGTTTTGTAAAGGGTGGCCTCTCATGCAGGCTTGAGTCCTGAATCTCCCCAGCACCAGTCCAAAAGGACTGTCCCTCCACAGAAGTGACAGCTGTTGCATAGGAACGAGCCCTGTACCATATACTCAA